ATACGCAGAAGCCATGCTTTAAAAGACATGTAGGGTTTTTTTTTTTTTCTTAAATATTACAGGAGTACTGGGAAGCTGGCTCAGTGGTTCAGAGTGTCTACTGGGCCTGAGTTCAACTCTTAGTTCCTAGCTTCGATGGTTCACAATTACCTGTAACTCCAGCTCCAGGGAATCCAGTGCCTCTTCCCTTTGAGGGCACATACACTCACATACACACACCCCACAGTTAGAAATAAAAAGCAAGAGAGTTGACTCCGTGCTTTAAGAGAGCCTGTTGCTTGTGGAGGACTGGTTTGCTTCCCAGCTTCTGCTCAGCCATCGATAACTCCAGTTCCAGGGAGTCCGACATCCTCTTCTTCTGACCTCCACAGACACCAGGTATGAATATGTTGTGCATACACGGATGCAGGCAAAATATTCATGCTCATAAAGTCAAATAAACATATCTATCTTAGTTAGGGTTTTACCACTGCGAACAGACACCATGACCAAGGCAACTCTTACAAATGACATTTAGCTGAGGCTGGCTTACAGGTTCTGAGGTTCAGTCCGTTGTCATCAAGGCAGGAGCATGACAGTGTCTAGGCAGGCATGGTGCAGGAGGAGCTGAGAGTTCTATAACTTGTTCCCGAGGCAAACAGGAACAGACTGTCTTCCAGGCAGCTAGGAGGAGGGTCTCAAAGCCCACTCCCACAGTAACACACTTCCTCCAACAAAGTCACACCTCCTAACAGTGCCACTCCCTGGGCCAAACATATATAAACCATCACATTCCACTCCCTGGCCCCCCATAGGCTTGTTTAAACACATGAGTCTATGGGGCACATAACTGGCCAAATCATAATGAAAAATACATTTAGTTCAATTTCAAAAGTCCCACAGTCTATAACAGCTCAACAATGTATAAAGTCCAAAGTTAAAGGTCTCTTCTGAGATTCATTCAATCACTTAACCCCAAAGCAAGACAGGAAACCAGCCGGGCAAACTCCAAACTCTGCGTCTCCATGGCTGATGGCAAAGCAGTCTTCAGATCTCCAACTCCTTTTTCATCTTTGTTGACCAGCAACAAACCTCTTTCTCCTGGGATGGTTCCACTCCCTGTTAGCAGCTTTCCTCTGCAGGTATCCCATGGCTCTGGCATCTTTAACATCTTGGGGTCTCCAAGGCAACCTCAATGTCACAGCTTCTTGTTTCAATGTCTGGGATCCACACATGATCTTCTGGGCTCCTCCAAAGGGCTGGCTTCACTTCTCCAGCTCTGCCTCTGTAGCACCCTAAGCTCAGGTTGATCCACTCCACTGCTGCTGCTGTTCTTGGTGGTCATCTCATGATACTGGCATCTCCAATACACTGGGGTCTTCTGCTGCAACTAGGCTTCACCAATAGCCTCTCATAGGCCTTCTTTATGGTGCCAAGCCTCAGTTTCTTTGCATGACCCCTTCAGTCCTGAGCCATCAAGTGCAACTGAGGGTGCACCTTCACCAATGGCTTTCCCTGACCTTTCACAGTGCCAAACCTCAGCTGTTCTTCATGACCCCTTCATACCTTTAAAACCAGTACCACCTGGGTGACTCATACACACTACCAAGTCCAGCTGCAGCATGGGGTACAACCTTGGCTATCTCTGGAACACAGCTTCTTTGAGCTCTCAGAAAGCACTTCCCAGAAGATTTCACCTCAGAGATGCTGGTCTCTTCTTAATCACCACTAATTTCTTAGCTCCACCTAACCAGCATCAGTTGTCCCAGTAGTCCCTTCTACTCTTGACTCTAAAGCCAGAGCCACATGACTGAAGCTGCCAAGTTCTGCTGCTTGCTGGGGCTAGAACATGGCCCCTTGTTCTATTACATCATCACCAGCTCTCTGCTTTCCAACTCCTTCACTGCCTAAGCTTGCCTGTCCTGGAACTTGCTTTGTAGATTGACCTTGAACTCAGAGATCTGCTTGCACAGGTGTGCCCTCCATTTCTGGATTGTAGTTCACTCCAGATGTTGTCAAGTTGACAACCAGGAATAGCCATCACAACATCTACATTTTTTTTTTTTAAAGTTAAAGAGAGGCTGGGAGCACAGTTCATCAGGTAAAGTGTCTGCTCCAGGAGCACAACCTGCGTTTGGTTCCTTGATACCAGTGTGACATCCCAGGGTGCACACATCTGTGACCCTAACGGAGACTTGACAAGATGGCTCTGCGGGTTAAGGCAACCTGTCAAGCCTGAATACCTGTGTGTATGTTCAATCTCTAAGAATCACGTGTTGGAAGGAGAGGACCAGCTCCCAGAAGCAGTTGTGTTGGTTTGAATGAGAAAGACCCCCCAAAGTCTCATCTATATGAGTACTTGGTCCCAGCTGGTGGAACTGTTTGGGAAGGATGAGGAGGGCCTTGTTGAAGGAGGTGTGTCACTGTGACAGGACTTCAGGTTTCAAAAGCACATGTCCTTTCTTCCCAGTTCACTCTCCCTTTCTCTCTGCTTCCTGGCTGTGTCTCAGGCTATAAGCTCCCAATTACTGGTGCAGTGTCGTGCGTGCCTGCCCTGTTGCCATGTTCCCACCATGATGGTCATGGACACTGTCTCTGGAGCTGTAAGTCCTTAACGAACACTTTCTGTTATACTCTGCCTTGGTCATGCTGTATTAATCACGGCAACAGACAGTAACTAAGACAGTCACCTAAGAGAACTGAGCCCTACAAGTGTCCCCTGGCCTCCACACACTAGGGCACTTGTGGTGGTTTGAATAAGAACGGCTCTCATATCCTTAAATATTTAATCACCGAAGACTGGCACTATTTGAAAGGATTATTAAAAATTCGGAGGTGCTGCCTTGTTGAAGGAAGTGTGTCACTGGGGGGGGTGTCTTTGGGGTTCCAAAGGCCCACTCTGAGCCCAGGGTCTGTCAGTCAGAGGATCACAATGTAGCTGTCAGCTACTTCTCTGGCACCATGCTTGCCGCCATGTTCCTTGCCACGATGACAAAGGACTAAGCTTCAGAAACTGTAAGCCGCCCCCTTCCCCCCAAATGTCTTCCCTTATAAGAATTGCCATGGTCACAGCAATAAGAACAATGCCTAAGGCGGCCCTGAAGTGTACCCTCTGCCACAGGTACACAAAATAAATAAACAAAATGAAAAAATAAATAAAAACTTTAAATAAGGTAGAAAGATGGGCATAGTAGTACATGTCTTTAATCCCAGCACTGGGAAAACAGAGGCAAGGGAATCTCTGTAAGTTCAAGGCCAGCCTGGTCTACATAGAGAGTTCTGGGTCAACCAGGACTTACATGGAGAAACTCTGTCTCAAAATCAATCATCAATCAACCATCCAATCAGGGGCTGGAGAGATGGCTCATTGATTAAGACCACCTATCCCTCTTCCAGAGGTCCTGAGTTCAATTCCCAGCACCCACATGGAAGCTCATGACCTTTCATAACTCCACTTTCAGAGGCTCTGACCTTCCTCTCTGGTCTCCTCAGATGGCAGAAATACACGAAGTACACATACACACAAGACACTCCTACATATTAAATAAATGCATATTAAAAACTAATTTTATAAAAATTATATATATATATTTCAAAACAAGGTTTCTCTGTGTAGCCCTGGCTGTCCTGGAACTCACTCTATAGACCAGATGGACTCAGAGACCTGTCTGTCTCTGCTCCCCAGTGCTGGAGTTAAAAGTACGTGCTACCACAGTCTGGCAATAAAACAATTTTTCAAGTAAATACAGGAGAAAGCAAGTGTGCGGTTTGTGCTTGTCACCACACCACTGGGGAGGCTGAGGCTCAGATGGCTGT